CACTGCACTCCAGTCTGGGCAACTGAGTGAGACTCCAACTCAAAAAAAAGAAAAAAAGTGCTTGTTAGTAGTATCAATGGCCAGTTGGAAACTGCATAATATACAATTAAGTGATTGGCTGTGGGCAGACCTCTGGGAACTAGACTTTTAAGTGGGTATCTGAGTGCTTGTTTTAATTTGTTAACTAGTTTTGTGATAGGGAGAGTTGGGGGAGGTGTAATAGGCTAATTCAGATGAACATATTAGGAATTGCTACACAAAACTGTTAAGACTCTTCTCCATCAGTCAAGATCTGTGCTGCTCTCCATCCTGTCAAGAATTCTTCCTGTTGTGAGTAGGACCAAGGGTTGCTTGAGCTTCCTTTATTTCATCCTGTGCTGCTGCTTTGGGTTGTCAGTCCTATAAGATTACTTCTGGTTCTACAATAGCTTTTATTTATAGTGAATTTAACCTATTCTAAGGATTATTGCTTAGTTTACAGTATGAAAGGATTTGGTGAACTATTTTAGTTTAGTTTAGTTTAGTTTTAGTTTTTTGAGTTGGAGTCTCACTCTGTCGCCCAGACTGGAGTGCAGTGGCCACTCCTGGCCACTGCAGCCTCGACCTGCTGGGCTCCGGGGATCCTTCCGCCTTAGCCTTCTGAGTAGCTGGAACTACAGGCGCGCACTACCACGCCTGGCTAGTTTTTGATTTATCGTAGAGATGAGGTCTCGCCAAGTTGCCCAGGCGGGTCTCGAACCCGCGGGCTCAGGCAATCCACTCCCCTCGCCTGCCAAGGCGCGGGATTACAGGCTGAGCCCCCGAGCCCGGCTTGTCATGTTTCATATTTTATCTACTCATGGAAAACTCGGGGCTTTGGTTTGCATCATTTTATTTCCAAGCTAGCCACCTCCACCTCACTTAATTGGAAGTTTTAGTCTATGGGGGAATCCACAGTATATTTGAGAGACTATTTTAAATGCCCACTAAAACCAAGATATATAGCCAGAAACAGCATTCCCAGAGTATTCTTTAGTATGAAAAAGGGTAACAACACCCCAGAAAACTTTTATTGTTTTGTGGGGTTTTTTTAAGTTTGACTAACTCTGGTTAAATAATTCTCTATGGTAATTACCTGACCAAAGCATTTAGTGTGCTCCTGTGATTTTTCAAGGGGAAATGATATATAATATATAGTGTTTCCAAAACTTACTTGGCCACAGAACTCTTTCATGGGACAATTTAAGGGAGTGTAGCGTTCTGTGAAACACACTTTAGGGAAAAATTAGTCCTCTTAATTCATTTTATGGACAACTATCTACCTTTTATTTTATATGCTTATTTATTATGTCATCTAACAGCTTTAGCAGAAAAGAGGACAAGATTAGATTATTCCAATTATCCTTTGCAAACCATTCATTTATTAATACATTGAGGGATTTTATTCCCTATTAAGTTTAATGGGCTGTAGTTTTTGTTATATATTTGCCATTTGGGGAATATTTTAAAACTATTTGTTGCACTTTGATTTTCTTACACATCCCCAGTTGTCCAGGCTTTATCTAGAATGTAGTTAATGGTTCTGAGTTAACATCTTCTAAGTTTTTTCTTTGTTCTGGAGTACAATTCCTGTGGGCTTAGGAACTTAAATTCATTTAAAGTGACTTTTATTATATCCATGTACATCTTAGGCTTGAATTCCCTTTTAATCATTTTCAACCCTTTCCAGTTTAAAGATCAGGCTCTGTGATAAAGGAGATTGACACTAAAAAGGAATAGTAAGATTCTCCTTTCTTTTTCTTCTGCCCATTTCTCTAAAGATAGTAGTGGATCTAGTAGATTCTTCTTCCTGTTTCCATCATAACAGAAAACATCCTTTGGTTGATCTCTCTTTTTTTAAGGGTCTAGACCCCCTTTTTGGGTCATATTTTTCTCTTTCCCCATCTTTAAAATCTTTTTAAAGAGCTCATCATCATACAGTTAGGCACTGTTGATATGTGATATGAACTTGGAGGAGGGAGAGATGAATGGGAGCTAGAATGATTCAAAAGGCCTCACAGAGAGAATTAGACCTGGTAGAATAGATGGCATTTACATAGGGGGAATGACTAGACAAGGGAATAGAGCAAAGCAGAGGTGGGAATGTTCAGGAACGGTAGACAGACTAGTCTGACTGGAGTAGACATTATTCTGTAAAAACAGTAGACAAAGCAGTTAGAGTTGACTTTCAGCATAATTTGTCAATGAAATTTCAGATTTTAATAAAACTAAAGCTGGCATTTGTATTGCTGAGGTATTATAAAAGTCCAGATATTGAATTGTATCAAAGATGCATGTAGTTACATATTTGTATAAGTTTTAACACTTTTTTGTTATATGAGTAGATCAGCTAAGTGCTCTGTTGGCTCTTAAGAATCAAGTACAGCCGGTCTCGGTGTCTTAGCCGGTAATCCCGCACTTTGGGAGGCTGAGGTGAGTGGACTGCCTGAGCGCGCAGGTTCGAGACCTGCCTGGGCAACTTGGCGAGACCTCACCTCTACAATAAATCAAAAAATCAGTCGGGCATGGTAGAGCATGCCTGTAATTCTGGCTACTTGGAAGGCTGAGGCGGAAGGATCGCCGGAGCCCAGCAGGACGAGGCTGTGGTGGCCGGGAGCAGCCACTGCACTCTAGTCTGGGCAACAGAGTAAGACTCCAACTCAAAAAAAAAAAAAAAGAAGTTGGGCTCTGTGGCTCAGTCTGTAATCTCGCGCCTTTGGGAGGCTGAGGTGAGTGAATTGCCTGAGCCCGCGGGTTCGAGACCCGCCTGGGCAGCGAGACCTCATCTCTACAATAAATCAAAAAATCAGCTGGGCGTGTAGCACATGCCTGTAATTCCGGCTACTTGGAAGGCTGAGGCAGAAGGATCACCGGAGCCCAGTAGGTCGAGGCTGCAGTGGCCAGGAGCGGTCACTGCACTCCAGTCTGGGCGACAGAGTGAGACTCCAACTCAAAAAAAAAAAAAAAAGAAACAAGTACATCTCTCTTGCTTATGTTAAGTCTAAGAAGAATATGAGGACCAGATTATGAATGATGACAACATTTATTCTGACTTTTTTTTAAATTCCATCTCCTTGAGTAATGTTTGTCTAGTCTTCAGATATGTACTTGATTTTTAAAATGTTGTCATGCTAAAACAGACAGAATTGATAAAAAAATTTTATATACTAATGTGAATCAGTTAATTCAGATAAACATTTATCTGATAATTTTTATATCTCTTATTTTCAGGTTGGCTCAAAAACAGAAGTTGCTGAGTGCAAGGAGAAATTTGCCACCTCCAAGGACCCCACGGTCAGTCAGACTTTCATGTTGGATAGGGTGTTCAACCCCGAGGGGAAAGCATTGCCACCGATGAGAGGATTCAAATACACCAGCTGGTCCCCCATGGGTTGTGATGCCAATGGCAGGTGCCTCTTGGCAGCACTGACTATGGACAATCGCTTGACCATCCAGGCTAACCTCAACAGACTCCAGTGGGTCCAGCTGGTCGATCTGACTGAAATCTATGGAGAACGTCTTTATGAGACCAGTTACAGGCTCTCTAAAAATGAGGCCCCAGAAGGAAATCTCGGAGATTTTGCTGAGTTTCAAAGGAGACATAGCATGCAGACCCCGGTCAGGATGGAGTGGTCGGGCATTTGTACCACTCAACAAGTCAAGCATAACAACGAATGCCGGGACGTTGGCAGTGTGCTCCTGGCCGTCCTCTTTGAAAACGGGAATATCGCCGTGTGGCAATTTCAGCTACCATTTGTAGGAAAGGAATCCATCTCTTCGTGCAACACAATTGAGTCAGGAATCAACTCTCCTAGTGTTTTGTTTTGGTGGGAATATGAGCACAATAATCGGAAGATGAGTGGCCTTATTGTAGGGAGTGCATTTGGACCTGTAAAAATTCTACCTGTCAATCTCAAAGCAGTCAAAGGCTATTTCACTTTACGGCAGCCTGTTGTCTTGTGGAAGGAAATGGACCAGTTGCCTGTGCACAGCATCAAGTGTGTACCACTTTATCATCCTTACCAGAAGTGTAGTTGTAGCTTAGTAGTGGCTGCAAGAGGCTCTTATGTGTTTTGGTGTCTTCTTCTGATCTCCAAGGCAGGGCTGAATGTTCACAATTCCCATGTCACAGGCCTTCACTCACTGCCAATTGTCTCCATGACTGCAGACAAACAGAATGGAACAGTATATACTTGCTCCAGTGATGGGAAGGTGAGGCAGTTGATTCCTATTTCACAGATGTTGCATTAAAGTTTGAACACCAGTTGATTAAGCTATCAGATGTGTTTGGCTCGGTGAGGACTCACGGGATAGCAGTGAGTCCCTGCGGGGCGTATCTAGCCATCATTACAACTGAGGGCATGGTCAATGGCCTCCACCCTGTTAACAAGAACTACCAGGTCCAGTTTGTTACTCTCAAAACCTTTGAAGAGGCAGCTGCTCAGCTCCTGGAATCGTCAGTTCAAAATCTTTTTAAGCAGGTAGATTTAATAGACCTAGTACGCTGGAAGATTTTAAAAGATAAACATATCCCTCAGTTTTTACATGAAGCCTTAGAAAAAAAGATTGAAAGCAGCGGGGTCACCTATTTTTGGCGTTTCAAGCTTTTCCTCCTGAGGATTTTGTATCAGTCAATGCAGAAAACCCCTTCAGAAGCCTTGTGGAAACCTGCCCATGAGGACTCAAAAATCTTCCTGGTTGACTCGCCTGAGCGAGGCAATGCCGAGGATGAGCAACACGAAGAAGGAACTTCTTCCAAACAGGTGACTAAGCAAGGCCTGCCGGAGAGGAGCCGGAGCAGCGAGGTAGAGGAGCCCGCTGATGACCCCCAGGCTGGGGATGCCGGAGGCCGCGAGCCCGTGGAAGAGAAACTCCTGGAAATCCAAGGGAAAATTGAAGCCGTGGAGATGCACTTGACCAGGGAACACATGAAGCGAGTCTTGGGAGAAGTCTATCTGCACACGTGGATCACAGAAAACACCAGCATCCCGACCAGAGGACTCTGTAACTTCTTAATGTCTGATGAAGAATATGATGACAGAACAGCACGGGTAGGTGTCCATTAACAAACACTCCGAAAAGTCTACTTTCTTTGCAAGAAAGAAATGACTTAAGTTGAATTTCTAAAGCTCAACTTTTGCTTTGACATTTTTTAGGTAATTGCATGAGGTACAGGCGAATTCACAGGAAACATGGATTAATGCAGAGGACACATTCATAGCATACACATGATATTTTGAATCTTCCTTACACTGTGGCCTTAATTGTATTGCAGGGTTTGCGAGATGAGATTTCCAGGCTGTGGGTTAGCTCAGGGAGGCTGTGTTTAGCGGAATAGTATGCGGTGGGCAGACGCAGCAATGGAGACAGTATCCGTGCTCTCTACTCCTATTTTACAAATGTTTTGGTGGAGATGGCATAGGGGTCATGCTTTCAGTTTGGAGGGACTTAAGGATATCTTCTGATATAGCTAATAAGAACCTATAAAATATAAACAAGTCATTACTTGTGTCTGATTTTCACAGAAACTGGGCATAATCTTTATTTTGGTATTTAGAACAATCTTGCAGTGTTATCCAAAATGTATCCCATAGAATTCAAGTTCCCTAACAGAACACGAGGGTTCCATGCTTGGGGAAATACTGCTTACTCTGTATACCTTCAAGTTCCCAGTGCATGTTATCATTCCAAGGGTTCTGAGAAGTACTGCAGAAAAGAAACCATCACCTTTGTGTGGCTTAGTATTACAAAGGCTTCTTGATCAGGGAATCCTTCATGCAGCTAACAGCTGCGAAAATCATGAAGACATTGTGTTCCAAGGACTATGTTGTATACTAAAATATTTAAAACCACAAAAGTCTGTATTGCTTTTTAATTCGAAAATTGACACTTGGTATTTCATTGCCTAAAGTCTTATGTAAAATATTAATTGAAGGCAATAATATCTTCATTCTTCATGTTAAACCATTCACAAATCACTTATTGAATTTTTTTATTGGAAAGGGTGTGTGTGTGTACATGTACATCCCTGAAAATTATTGCTTAGAGGATGTTTACAATGCTTTTAAGAGTCATTAAAATGGAGGTGAGTGAATTGCCTGAGCCTGCGGGTTCGAGACCCGCCTGGGCAGCGAGACCTCATCTCTACAATAAATCAAAAAATCTGCCGGGCGTGGTAGCGCATGCCTGTAATTCCGGCTACTTGGAAGGCTGAGGCGGAAGGATCGCCGGAGCCCAGCAGGTCGAGGCTGCGGTGGCCGGGAGCGGCCACTGCACTCCAGTCTGGGTGACAGAGTGAGACTCCAACTCAAAAAAAAAAAAAAAGTCAACTTTTAAATGTGTTTCATTGTGTTCTAACTTGTCTAGAAAAGTATCTGGGTTATCACTGTGCCATGAGACCCAGTTAGGTTTTATTATAAGGTCAGTGAAAAATTAGCAAAAACATTTATTTTTATTTTTTAAAGATGTGGTATACAAATATTCATTATGCATATACTCCCACAGCAGATTCAGCAAAAACATTTTAGAAAATAAGCAATGGAAGTCAGTTCTTTTTTTTTTTTTGAATTGGAGTCTCACTCTTGTCATCCAGGCTGGAATTCAGTGGCATGCTCATGGCCACTGCAGCCACAACCTGCTGGGCTCAGGCAATCCTTCCACCTCAGCCTTCCAAGTAGCTGGAACTACAAACTCAAGCCACCACGCCTGGCTAGTTGTTGTGATTTATTGTAGAGATGAGGTCTCACCAAGTTGCCCAGGCTGGTCTTGAACCCCCAGGCTCAGGCAGTCCTCTGGCTTCAGCCTCCCAAAGTGCTGGAATTACAGTCTGAGCCACTGTGCCGGCTGAAAGTCAGTACTTAATGGTTTAGAGGAACTGGGTGCCACATGAGCCTAGGAAGCTATGTTTAGTGTGATGATGTGGTTCCAACAGAGCCAGTTTGAAAAACAGGAGGTTGGGCCCCTCCCCATCTTTAGCAGCTGAGGTTTGATTGAAGACCATGCATTGCATTTCTTAAAAATCCAACTATACATGCATTAAGCGATATACATAAAAATAACCTAGGATGTTGATCTGATTGTATTTATCAGTTATTTCTGAGATTCCCAGCCTAGCATGCTGGTAGCGTTGACCTGCACTTCTCAACCTTTTTTTCCATCGTCATCTCCCCCGGAGTATTTTTAGACATTTTTTTCCTAATTGCCCCTGCTCATGATGTTTTAATACCACAGATATGTTTTGCGTATCTGCTTCTGTGCAGTATGTATACATCTGTGTCTTGTACATAAAAAGAAAACCAGCAACCAGTGTTTGCTGCCTTGGAAGGACTGTCACTCCCATTGAGAATGCATAAATCAAAAGGATGCAGTTGCGTTTGCATGGTCAAGGCCATCAAAAGCAAACAGAGGCAGTCCTTCCTTATATAAACTGAGATGCCTCTGTACTGGAAAAATTGGGAGTATTTTTTGTCGCTGTGCCATTATGAGGATATTTGGCCTGACTAGAAAAGAGGGATGAGGATGGTTATTAGCCCTTTGCAATCGAATGCCCCCTTTCAGGGTACGTAAAGAGATTGCTGGTGATTATACAGGACAAACATATATGCCAATGCAAATTTTTAAAAAATGTATGTTTCCTTCAAGTTTTTCATCCAAATTGCACAAAAAAGCAAAGAGATGGAATATATACTGGGATTTACGTAAAAAAAAAAAAATCAGTTGGCGTTATATGGAAAGAGAAGCTATGAAGTGTTTTCACAGTGGTGTACAGACTGGACAATAAATTACATATTATTAATGTGGGAGGAAGAAAACAAGACTGCGTTGTCTGCTTGAATAGAAAAACACCAGGTAGAAGATGTCCAACAAATTACTATTGCAAACCCGGCTCGGTGGCTCAGCCTGTAATCCCGCGCCTTTGGGAGGCTGAGGTGAGTGGATTACCTGAGCCCGCGGGTTTCAGACTCGCCTGGGCAGGCGAGACCTCATCTCTACAATAAATCAAAAAATTAGCCGGGCGTGGTAGCACGCGCCTGTAATTCTGGCTACTCGGAAGGCTGAGGCGGAAGGATCGCCAGAGTCCAGCAGGTCGAGGCTGCGGTCGGTGGCCAGGAGTGGCCACTGCACTCCAGTCTGGGCGACTGAGTGAGACTCCAACTCAAAAAAAAAAAAAAAATTACCATTGCATAACATGTATCAATGAACCTGCAATTCATGTTGGTGACTGTTAAACATGCTACCACATGCTAGAAAGTATTAAGAGGCCAGACACGGTGGCTCAAGCCTGTAATCCCAGCACTTTGGGAGGTTGAGGTAAGGAAATTGTCTGAGCCCACGGTTTTGAGAACAGCCTAGGCAACTTGGTGAGAACTCATCTCTACAATGAATCCAAAAATTAGCTGGGCACAATAGCGTGCACCTGTAGTTTCAGCTAGGTTGGAAGACTGAGTCAAAAGGATTGCCAGAACCCCAGCAGGTCAACGCTGAGCATGCCACTGCACTCTAGCCTGGGCAATGGAGTGAGACTCCAACTCAAAAAAAAAAAAAGTATAATATATAAAATTTTGATTTTTTTTTTGTCATAACTATTTGTTCCTCGATGTCCAGATTTCATTTTAAGCCAAATATTATTACAATAAAATAATTGATTCCAATGCTGTCCTATTTAATATGAAGTGATTCATTTTTCACTATTTTGTAAAAAAATGCAGTCAAATTGCTGATAGGTGATCAGCGAGATATCTCCAGGTGTGAAGGGTTAGAATTCTTAAGGCTGAGAAGCAAAAAGAACAAAAATTAATGGGATTTTAATTTTTAAAGTAGCCGGCTCAGTGGCTCAGCCTGTAATCCCGCGCCTTTGGGAGGCTGAGGTGAGTGGATTACCTGAGCCCACGGATTCGAGATCCGCCTGGGCAACTTGGCGAGACCTCATCTCTACAATAAATCAAAAAATCAGCTGGGTGTGGTAGCGCATGCCTGTAATTCCGGCTGCTCGGAAGGCTGAGGCGGAAGGATCACCAGAGCCCAGCAGGTCGAGGCTGCGGTGGCTGGGAGTGGCCACTGCACTCCAGTCTGGGCGACAGAGTGAGACGCCAACTCAAAAAAAAAAAAAAAATTTTTTGTTAAGTATATGCAGAAGAGGTAAGATAACTCTTACTGACTTGTACCAGCTTGCCCACATCTGAACTATTAAGACACCCTTTGAAACTTAAGTGAATTAATTTTAGTGAGTTACTTCAAAGTCTTGTGGAATCTTCCATTTGAAGGGCACTATTGCTAGCAAGAGAAGATGGTTCGAGGTTGGTGTATCTATCCCACGTCGCCCAGTGATATATCCAGTGAAATTTTGTTTTGTTTTATTTTTGTTTTTTTAACAAAATAATAGTGAATCTATGTTTTTTAAGAGTACAGTCTTAAGCAAAGCAAAGCTGAAACAGGAACAAGGCCTAGAATCTGTGCTGTCACCTCTTTCTCACTGCCACCTTCCTGCACCCACAGTGGGTCTTACCCTGCTCAGCAGTGAGGATCAGTATATCTCAGATTGCAGGCTCCTGGACTAGATTAGTCATGGGTCTTTGGGCCATCTGAAGCAATTATTTTTTGATTCTGATTATTTTTTTACTTTGTAAGCCTTTCTTTAAAAATAGACATTTGAGCCAGGCTCGGTGGCTCAGCCTGTAATCCCAGCACTTTGGGAGGCTGAGGTGAGTGGATTGCCAACCCGCGGGTTCAAGACCTGCCTGGGCAGCAAGACCTCATCTCCACAATAAATCAAAAAATCAGCCGGGCGTGGTAGCGCGTGCATGTAATTCCGGCTACTCGGAAGGCTGAGGTGGAAGGATCACCGGAGCCCAGCAAGTGAGGCTGCGGTGGCCGGGAGCGGCCACTGCATTCCAGTCTGGGCAACCAAGTGAGACTCCAACTCAAAAAAAAAAAAAAAAGATATTTGTACAGTTTTACAGTTAGTGATATTCTTTGTGATGTTTTGCCTAAAGAGATTATGCTTTTCCTTCTTAAAGTCAAAACATAAATAATAGCTAAATACTTTGTCTTCTGACAGAACTCTGCAGTCCTTGTTTCAGAAGCAACTAAAACAAGGCAAGTAATAAGATTTTGGTTTTCAGAACAGTTTTTCCCTTAGTGGTTGTAGTTTACCCTGTTGTCACAGAGTCCCTGGATGAATCTATGTAATCTATACAATAGATTACAAATTAAATAGATTACACAGATTACAAATCTAGCTCTTTTACTTTTCACACAGTATGATCAGCCTGTGTAGAAATGCAAACCTCCTGTCTCATAAGATGCTGCGTTTTTCTTTTTCATTTTTTCCTTTGTGTTAGCAGACTCTTCTTCAGGAAATTCTACTCTCACTACTAAACTTTGCTGACTTCTTTGTCTTTCTAGGTGCTGATTGGACATATCTCAAAGAAGATGAACAAGCAAACTTTCCCTGAGCACTGTAGTTTATGCAAAGAGATCTTGCCATTCACAGATCGCAAACAGGCAGTCTGTTCCAATGGCCACATTTGGCTCCGGTAAGCCATTTTAAAAACTCCTGCTTTTGCTCATTTCTCACTTTGTGTGGCAAAAAACACTAAAGTATTTATCACAGTTATATGTGGCCATGCCATAATGTTGGAGAAAATCTAGTATGCTGGAGTCTGACATGGACTTTTTCAGGATGACTAAAGCAGGATGGCCTTTAAAGGCAGTTTTTTACTGCTTGATATATGTGTAGGGATTTCCTTATTTATTTTGATAATACTGTTTTCCTTTGAAGTAGTGTTAAGTTTTTTTAAAGTATTATTACTAAGTAATACCTGTTAAGTTTAATGAATCCACACGTGTGCTTTTTTTTGGTTTGTTTGCTTAATTTCATAGTAAAAGGTAGGTGTCTTCTCCTCTCCTCTTAGGCTCACTATGAGGTAACCTTTGTGTGTCCTTCTTTTATTCGACTTGTGAGCTGTGTTTGGCACAATCACTCCCTCCTGGAACCACTTTCATCACCAGGACACAGCACTCCCTGGTTTTCTTCATGCCTTTCGCTCTTCATTCTCACTTTGCTGATGCTACCTCATCTCATTGATGTCCATCTTTGGACCTGTGTTTCTTCTCTCAACATTTTCCCTAGGTGGCTGCATATCATCGTACACTGATGACTTAAGCATATAGCTGTAACCTGTATCTCTCCCTTTAAGTAACTACCTGCTCAGTGTCTCTATTTGAATGTTTAACAGGCATTTCAAATTGGAATCCAACCTTTTCTCACTACCTCTGCCTCTACAGCCCTGGTCCAAGACAGCATTGTTGCCTGCCCAGATTATTATCCCTGTTACCTTCTGTCTTGGTCTTCCTACTTCCATTCTTGCCCCTCCAGTCTGTTCTCCATTATAGCCATGGTTGAGCTTCTGTTAGGACTATGTCAGCTCATGTCACCCCTCTACTCAAAACTCTCCAATGGCTACCCATTTCTGATGAGTAAAAGGTAAAATCCAGACTACACAGCCTGGGCCTGTCTATCCCCTTGCCCTCTCTCTGACCTCATCTCTTATGTTTCTCCATCTTGCTGTCTTCACTCCAGGCATACTGGCCTTGTTGTTCCTCAGGTACACGAGGCACCCCTTCTACTTCAGGACATCGGCCAGTGCCTGTGCCTCTACCTGAAATGTTCTTCCAGCAGATGTCTGCGTGGCTTCCTCAAATGTTACTTTTTTAGTTAGGCCTTCCTGGCACGATATCTAAAATTGTAATGCCCTACTGACATCCCCCTCCCTCTCAATATTTCACATCCCTCTTCCGTTATTTTCTTCCTTAATAATTATTGCTATTTATATATGTTTCTTACTTTTTCTTATTTTCTTTCCTCTGGAATAGAAACCTCAATGAGTACAGGAACTTTCTGTGTTTTGTTCACAACTATTGCTAGAACAATGCCTGGTACATGGTAGATACTCAGTAAAATTTTTAAATTTATTTTTAACAGAAACAGGATTGTACTACACATACATCTTAATAACTTACCGGTTCTCTTATCAAAAGATCATGGGCATTTTTTTCTACATCAGTACAAAGATAGTTTATTTCTTTGTTGATGGATATTTGGAGTTTTTTCCAATTTTAATGCATTCCTACACTCTTTCTTTTCTTGCATTTTCTTTTTTTGAGATGAGGTCTCTGCTGTCCAGGCTGTATTTGAATTCTAGGACTCAAACAATCCTCCCACCTCAGCCTCCTGGGTAGCTGGGACCACAGGCATGTGCTACCACACCCAGCTCCAACATTTTTTCTTTTTTAAAAAATAATTTAATTTTTTTTTATTTTAAAGATGTGGGGTACAATTCAGGGTTAGGTATACAAATGTTCATTATGCAGGTACCCTTGTTGATGAGGTGTGCCCCTCCCTCCCCTGGCAGTTTTCCACTACTACAAATCCCTTTCATATAATATTCTTATTATGATAATTGTTAAAGGTCCACTTATGAGTGAGAACATATGGTACTCTGTTCTTTGTTTCTGTGATAGGTCACTGAGTATGATAGACTCTAAATTCGTCCAAATTGTTGCAAAGTCCACATGTTTGTCCTTCTTTATGACTGCATAATATTTCATTGTATATATGTACCATGTTTTTTTATCCAGTCCAGCTTCAATGGGCAGCATGGTTGGTTCCATGTTTTTGCCATTATGAATAGAGCTGCAACAAACCTGCATGTGTGGGTATCTTTTTTGTAGAATGATTTCAACATTTTTTCTAATTTGTTCAGATGTTTTTTTAAGGGGGGAGAGAATAGGAAATAAGCTTATAGTATATTTTATTTTGTAATTTAAAAAAAAACAGCTAACATTTATGGAGCACTGTTAATATGCCAAGCATAATCTAAGCAGTACACACGTATTAAGTTACTGTATCCTCACCACAACCATGCATGGGGGAGCACCGTGATTATTTTTGCTTTTACAGATGAGGAAATGGGAGTCTGGCAAAGTTAAATTACTTGCCTGTGGTCACACCAGTGGTTTGTGGTAGAGCTCAGAACCTGGCATTGTGACTCAAATCCACACGTGTAATCACTACACAGTAATGTCTCACTGTTGGGCTATTTCAGAAAAATTATTTTCATTTTTGTTGATTAAAGTTAGTGCCAAAATGCCTCCACATAATTTCTCTATGTGAGAATGAGTGCTTGCTATCACTCCAGATGTAACCTTTCCTCCTGTATACCCTAGTCTGTACTCAAGATAAACCTGCTTGGAGTTCCTTCCCTTAACCTCCCTCTTAGAATTTTCTACCCTGTAGTTGCTCAACTTAAAACTTACCTTCGGAAGACTTTACCTACAGAACTCAGATATCAAGAATTCAAAGTACAGTCAGTTATAGACAAACTAACCTCTTTCTTGGTGCTGCAAACATTGGGGGGGAAAGCGAACGAGGAAAAAAAAAAAACCCTGCAGTCTGTCTGGATTAGAAACTTTGTATCTCTTAGCTTAGTAATATGATAGCCCCTTCTCTTTTACTAAGTGTGAGGTGGTGTAGGTTTGGCAAGCTTTGGTGCACAGAGGGAGACATTGTTGCCAAGAATTTGTGAAGTATCCTACCACTTTCACTTGGTTAATGTATGGTTTTAGAGTAACTGTGGTGGCATTATACTAGGCTGCTTTCCCCCAGCAAGCCCTCATCCTTGACGATACAATCTGTCTTCTTTCAGGTGCTTTTTAACCTACCAGTCCTGCCAGAGTTTGATATACAGACGGTGTTTGCTCCATGACAGCATTGCCCGGCATCCAGCTCCAGAAGGTGAATACTTTCTGTGCCTGGGGAGGGTGAATGGAGTATGCTGGCAGAGTGCCAGCGCCCTGAGGAACGGCTCAGGTCACACTCCACACTGCTTAGCATTGTGCCGTCAGGGATGGGGAGCAGGCTCATGCGGCTCTGCACAGTGTTATCATGAAGCCACAACTAATTAAAACATGGTTATTGGAATATGTCATGTTAAAGTACTGATTGCACTTTAGTGTGTGAGTTAAGTGGGCCTGCAGTTGCTGTTCTGTCACTGCAAACAAATTATTCATCCCAAAGTCAGAGTTTGTTTTAGATGGCATAGATAGATTATATTTGAATGAAAATTCTTCAAATGATATTATATACAAAGATGATATTGCAGAACTAGTAATAGGATGCACACTTATAGTCCTTCTTCTAGGAGTTTTCCCTGTTGATCTACATTCTCTTTCCTGATAGTCTTGGTGTCAAAGAGTACATTTCCATTTCTGAGATAACTAGCTGGAATAAGATCACTGAGTGGGCAGGGAATTCATGATTTAATAGCCACATGACTGTCAGATTTTGACTTGAGATTCACTAATATCACACTTTAATCAAATAGCTAACTAGACACAGTATATACAATTATCGGTGTATTTGGGGGAAATTTGTGGTCTCAGTTAACTGAATCTAAAAGCATTCTGCATAAAACTTCATCCTTATTTTTTACTTTTGCTCTAAATTGGCTGAAGCACTCTAATTCTCAGAAACTGGTATGTGTTACCTTGTGTTCTGTTTTAGCTTTTTATCAGGGAAACTATAATCATACACAGAAGTAAAGAGAGGAATATAATAAACTCCTGTATGCCCATCACCCCACTTCAGAAGTGATCAGCTCATGGCCTTTTCTGTTTTCATCTGGAGTTCTCCACCCACCTCCCTCCTATTGGATTATTTTGAAACACATTTTTGGGAGCTGTTAAACAGTTACTGCAATGAATTGGTTTACTATGTAGGCAGGAAATCTGGAGAAGATTGAAACTTTAAAAATCCTGCCCATTGACTCTGAGTTGAGCCATTTATAGCTCTTGGGAAGAATGAAAAGCTACTGGCTCTAAAGAAAGCATTAGATTAGAGCAGAGTTGTTCACAGACCAAAGGAGGAGGAGATATTGACCCAGTATTGCCATGTTTTTATTTCTCAAAGTAATGACACTTTTATTTATTTATTTATTTTTTGAGATGGAGTCTCACTCTGTCACCCAGACTGGAGTTCAGTGGCCACTCCTGGCCACCGCAGCCTCGACCTGCTGGGCGCCGGCAATCCTTTCGCTTCAGCCTTTCCAGTAGCCTCAGCCTTCCCAGTAACCAGAATTACAGGCATGTGCTACCACGCCGAGCTGATTTTTTGATTTATTGTAGAGATACGGTCTCGCTGCCCAGGCAGGTCTCGAACCTGCGGGTGCAGGCAATCCACTCACCTCAGCCTCCTAAAGGCGCGGGATTACAGGCTGAGCCACTGAGCCCGGCTAGTAATGACATTTTTAAAAATGATCATAAGCCGGACTCGGTGGCTCAGCCTGTAATCCCAGTGCTTTGGGAGGCTGAGGTAAGTGGATTGCCTGAGCTCGTGGGTTCAAGACCCACCTGGGCAACTTGGTGAGACCTCATC